GACGTCATGTGAAAACCAGCTATAGACGGAATCGGGTGACGTGTTTACATCCTGGTTGCCACCCAATTCAGACCACGTGATGATTCATTTGGGAGGTTACAACTGTGTTATTTTCCACACGCGACAGATTGCATGGGAGTATGTACAAACAGAACTATAGGCCATTTTACAGTTATGTTCTTAGTTACCTGGCCTATGAATGGAAGCGAGGCTAGAGGTGACCTGGCTTTGATACAGACCTCTCTGCTTTTCTCATGTAAATGCAAACTAGTTAGCATAAGAACTTGATTTACACAGCAAAAACAGTGAAGTCTATATCAAAACAAGGTCACCTGCAGCCTCACTCCCATTCAAAGGCCAGGTCACTGAAGAGAAAACTGGTCTATTGTCTAAATGGTCTATTGTTACCTCGCAAATGAATCGTCACATGATCTGAACTGGGTGGCAAAAAGGATATAAACAAGTTAGCCGAATCCGTCTCTTCTCCAATGGAGAATCTTGAACTGAAACGTTTGCAGCTTAGTTTCCTGGCTTTGTATGACAGAAAAAAAGTCATTGTACGACTTGCCGTTTTATGAAATTTTCGTCGATGACGAAGTCAGCTATCCATTTCCCCTGACTTTTAATCTACAGTCAAACCTGTATTAAGCGGCTCCCATATTGAGCGGACACCCTCTATAAGCTGACAGCAGCACAAGTCCCATTTCTTTCCCCTCAAGTTAACTGCAACAAATACCTGTATTCAACAGACACCTCTATTAAGCGAACAAGGACACCTTAAACTTGACTGTTATGGTCATCTCTATTGTTAGAAACCTGTATTAAGCGGACACTGCCTGTTTTTTGTTTTGTTTTGTTGTTGTTTTCGTTGTTGTTTTTGTTTTTGTTTTTGTTTTTGTTTTGTTTTGTTTTGTTTTTTTCACGCGTTAATACATCGATCATTTAGTTTGCCGACAAAAAAGAGCTGTCACAGATTTTGTTTTTACGGAGCTTGTATTCCCCTTTCATGATTGTGTGCACCTTC